GTTGTGCTCACAACATGAACACCTTCAACTAACAAAGACAATCTTCATACTAGATTAGGGGGTAGAGAAAATAATGAGCCACTGATGATAGCTATAAGTTATAATTCTCTGCTTTGACCAGAGGGAGAGAATGAATTAATTCTTACAGGAAGGGCAGTATAATTTTTTTTTTCTTTTTCAGTTTATTCTATACTTCACAGTCTTCCTTTTTTGGGGACTGTTATTCTTCAATGTCAGTGTCTATCTGAAAATGAGTATTTTTAGACCTTTGTGCTGAGGAGAATTTTTTTTTTCCAGTGCAAGAGTTAATGGCTGAATACTGACATAATATGACAAAAGCTGTGCTGGATTTTAAGAGCTCATTAAAGGAAAAAAGTATCACTTTCTCACTTTCTACCCTATCAGTATTTTTTCCCCAAATATTTCCTCTCAGGTTTACACAGCAGAGAAACCTAAAGAGTTTTTTACTGAAGCATGAATAGCTAGTTCAGTTGTGTGAATAAATAATAGTTTAGAGAATCAAACAGTCATGAAAATGTCATGGACAAAGAAGGCTCTAAGGTTTGAAACTGAATTGTCTCCTGGTTTAGCAATTCTATCCCCCCACAGCTCAGAAATTATATTGTGAATGTTCATGCAGATAAATTTAGATATATAATTAGATGTTTTGTCTCTTCATTTATATATAGTAGGGCTTTCCTACTGCTTACTGTGAAAACATTTGCATGTGATTTTGAAGAGACAAAATTGAAATGATCTCACAGAGGCTGTGGAATCTCCATCCTTGGAGATACTCAGACCTTGACTGGACATGCTGCTGGACATTCACCAACCTGCTCTGAGTGGTCCACGTTTTACAGTGCTGTAATTAGCCTTGTACCACCCAGGACAGTCAGAATACACATTATTACCCTTGGGAAAATTAGGGTAGTGGGTCTACTGAAGGAAATTAAATGTCAGACAGTGTTAGAGACAGATACTTTGCTGCTTCTTTAGTTATTTAAGACATATAGAAGCATTATTAAAAATACAGATATAGGTCAAAAATACATAACCAGTTTCCTATTTTTGGCTCCAACGTGTGCTTTCACATGCACCTCCAGGCATTCCCACCACCCCCTGAATGAACCCTGCATCTCTGCAGGCTCTGGAACAGCGGCCTCCCTGCCAGCTCTTTGCTCGATGATCCATTTACAGCCTGTGTCAAGGACAGTCTCTGGAGGAGAGAATAAAGTTCCTGACACTCAGCTGAGATTCATCCTGGCCAAATCGGGATATTTACAGTGTGGATACCTACAGTTGAGGTAGTCCCTCCAAAATCCCTTCCCAGTTAACAAGAAATGCAAACTTCCAGGTCCCCACCCTAAGGGAACTGGGACAAACTGGATAAGGTAAACCTGGAGCCAGATAAAAGCTACCCCAATCCAAATCCTTGTGTTCTGAAATACTACAGGTACCTGCCTCTAAAACAGTATGAAATAGTACTGGTACCTGTCTTTAAAACAGAAAAAGTGTCCTAAGCAAGTGAAATGAAAATAAAGTGAGGAATTAATTAACTAACTAGAGGTGATTAAAGTAAATAAAGGAAACAATTATCATATCAAAATAAAAGACAAGAAAGATGATTAAATGAGTCTTCAAAAGACCCATGAGAAACTCATGAAAGACATAATATGCCTTTTACCTGGTTTTTGGTCTTTCATGATTTCATTTTAATTTTTATTCACTACCATCTGATAATTGCAAGAAACAGTTACTTTAACCATAGGCAATTTAAACCATTTAAATTTTTTTCCAGGGCCAAGAAACAAAAGAACCTATTTATTGCCTGAGGGGATTTTTACTAAAATGAAAGCTTAATCTTTCATGGTTTTTTTAAGCAAAGGCTTTTAAAAAATCATTTCTAACAATGCTGTAGGGAGACACTTCCATGGGTATGCAAAATTGAAATTATAAACTTACAATTATAAAAAAATTAATAGTTTGGGGGATTGTATTGTCTCTGTTCTTTCTGAATGAATACTCTTTCAAGCTTAAGCGAAAGTATTTAGCACATGGAGGAGAACGAGTGTCCTTAGACTCTCCTGCGGTCAAAGCTGTTTAGTCAGAATGTATGGGAGAAAGATGGAGTTTAATTTGTATGGAAATCCTCAAATATAAATGTCCCACTGACTCCTCACTTCCTGGTCTGTTTTTCTGTGTTGCCACTGCACTGAAGTTGGCCTGACCACTATCTACTCTGTACCACTGATGGTTGCTCAATCTTAGCTATGTAAAATTAAGCTTCAAGATTAATTTTAACTGAAACAACCTTCTTTTGAGGCTCTTATGACGCATGTTTACAAAGGGCAAGAACAAGAGCTCTTGGTCAAAGATTGATTCAGGGGAAGTTTTCAGGGGACCTATATCTGGAGAGAAGCACAGATATGATTTTTATGTGGCTGCCATGGTTCAAAGCATACTGGAAGTGCACACTTTTGCCCATCTCCATTCTGTGCAGTGTTTTACCTTTAAAAACATCAAGAAAAGGATTATATTTAAGCATCTGCCTTTGCACTGCCACAAATGTGGGCTGTTTTCTCAACTAAAAAATATTAATTTAATGCATTATCTGGAGAGATGCAAACATTTCTTCCTGGGCTTAGTGCAGGCTTTGAAATCAGACAAAATAATTTACACTTATGAAACACAACAAGCTGAAGTGTTCTATTAAAGGAAAACTAGACCAAAAAAATACCCTTAAGGCCTCCAAACATCCACACATTGAAAGGCAGATTTAAATATTTTCTGCCAACATATTCCAAGTTTTAGTGGAAACACTTTAAGCTACAATGAAAAGCTTTATCAAACTAAATTCATTTTCCATGGAGCAGAGAAGAATCATTGAAGATATTATTCAAGTTTACAAAATATGTAATAGGGTGGAGAATGTGGAACCAGATAAGGAAGGTTAAACTGAAGAAGATTTTAACAAGACTTGATTTTAGGTTGGTTGTGCAACATAAATAGGTCAGTGGACCTACCAGAGGTTTTCAAGCTGTCTAATATTAGAAAACCTGTGTACAGGTACCATCTGTAAGATTTTCAAGGGCAACTGGCATTCTGAAGACACTAGCCAAAATCATTAATCTCTTTGGAAAAAACCCTTGGTATCTGCTCTATAATACTGCTCAGAGCAATAGGAAGCTCTAGTTACCCCAAAGATATATCTGCCCAGTCCAGTGGAAGCACCTGTCTACCATGGGCCTCTGCAGACCTGGACATCAGATAAAACAACCTCCCAGGTATTCAAAGAGCCTCAAGATCAGGTTTAAAAGGGCCAGACAGGTAGGATAAGAAGAGTATGTTGGACAGGGAAGGAAAGCAATGTGGCCCCTAAGGTTGAATCCAAGTTCTGTGTGTACATGGCAAAACAAAGTGCACAACAGGAACATTCTGGTGCCATTGTGCTGCAGAGCAGCAAAGAAAAAGGGAGTTAATTTCCAGTCCCTCTGCACCACAGTGCAGGGCATTGAGCTGCCCTGGGAACTCTTGTCAGTATGGGTCAAGATATGTTGTGTGCATCTTGGGAGGACAAGGCTGCTTAGACATTTATCACCTAAACTGTGGAGATATCACAGAGCATGCATGAAATGCAACATTTCTGCTTCTATAAATGGGTGGCATTTAGACAGGTGTAACAGGGAAACACTGACACTGGGAATAGCCTTTGCCAAAGTGCTGAGTCCCAGCTCCAGGATGGAGGGAAGAGATTGCTCAGGTTTAAAAAAAAACACATCATCAAGCCAAAATTATTTTTACTCAGCCTGCTTCTCAAAGATGTTGCTAATGAATATTATTTTTAGGTCAAGATGATGCTCGTGCCAGAAATAAGAAAATTCTACGCAGACTTAGTACTAGCCAAGCTTCTTTCCATTTAACCTCAACCCCAAACAAACAACAAAACTGTAATATAATGGGAGCCCTGGCCAGCACTAAGACCCAACACCACACTCAGTCCCAGTTCTTTTTTGCAGTGAAGACTGTTTTCCTTACTGATGAGCTCACTCTGCCATGAATTACTTTTTCATGGGGGATAAATACACACTTAAACAAGATTAAACACAAATGTTCTTTAGTGGTATCTAAAATAATATGAATGTTTTTTAGAACAGCAATAAACACACTTCATGATGCAAATAATTACACCCTGCAGCCTTTATGCAACAATAAGTGGCCGAATTCTCTACTCAGCTATATCACTGTAAAGCCAGAGTAACTACACTGAATCAACACCTCTCTCTGTGGATTCTGGATATTCTGAAGTGTTACCTAAGCCTGAATTTGCCCCAGTTTCTCTCTAGGGCTTTGGAGATATCAGACATGCATGTCCGGAAATCCATGTGGTGGTCATGGAGGCATTTCCACCTCTTATCCTTCTGCCCTCATAATGAAGTCAGAATCTGGCTGTGTATTCCTTGTGCATCTGATATCACTTCTGTAACTGTGTACTCAGGACCAGAAGAAAGTTCAATTGGGATCCAGCAAAAGAAAGGAAAAATAAAAAGGACTTCACAAAAATTCATTAAGGGCAAAGCAATACTTGTGGGTGATGGGAATCAAAGATCACTATCTTGGGGATTAAAAAGAACCACCTCAGCTGATTTTCCTTTGGATGAGAAGAAATTGGTCATGTTCTGAATTCTTTGTGAAGAGTTAATTTTATCTTAAGTTTCCCATGCAATTGTAATTTTCACGCAGAGTTTTTTAAGATGGGTCTGTTAGGCTTTAATGGCCCCTGAAATGAATCTGGAAAGGCGAACATGCCCACACTGGACCACTTGAAAAAGCAGTTATTTGCTTGAAAATAACAGCAACAAAGACGTACTCAGCTGTTATAAAGGCTCTTCACAATTTACATGAGCACGGAACTCATGACACAACATGGAACCAGTGTTTTAACTACCATCTTCCCCTTGCCTGCCATGTTTGTGTGTTGGAAGCAGGCACTTGGCTCTTACCAGGACTTGTGAGGGCTCCCAGAGCACCAGTCGTTGTGGAGAGAGGGTTTGCATTGGTGGTGGTAGCTGAGGTCTGGGCGGCGGCTGCTGCGGCTGCTAAAGTTGCCAAATTCTGTAATTGTAAAGCGTTCATGCCTATGTGGAGAAGCAATAGGGTTAATTAAAACAGGTAATCATCATCATCGTAATCATCAAAAAGTGCTATTTTCAATGGTCATGGAGCTTGGGGTGTATCTTGCCAATGAACTAGATTATTTTCATTCCCGAGATATCTATAATCTCAAACCACCTCTTACAGCTCCTGAAGAGTATTTCTCATCTCTCTGCCTTGGAGTTGAGAGAATGCACCAAAGACACCAGCCTATACTTCAGGAAAATTAAACCTGGTTTGTGCCTCTTCTAAGGGAAGTGTAGAATTAAAAGTCATTTAAACTCTGTGTGAAGCCCAGGCACAATATTATTTCCTGAAACAATGGGGGATATAAAGAAGATAACTAGCATTTAAAACACATTCAGGACAGGGTCATATAATTGGGATGAATACAATTTGTTCCCCATGTCTCCCAGTTTGAATGCCTAGAAACTTGTCTGATTTTTTCTGAATGTTAGTTTGCCTACAAGATATATTATTTCTCCCTGCACACTTTGTATTTCAAACAGAGGATCTTAACAGCAACTTGGAGAAAATGAAAAAAAGAGATTTAAATACAATACTTGGGAAGTATGTTTGAGAAAAAAATAATGCGATGAAGGAGAGGTACTTTCTAGGAATTCAGAATTCCTGCAATAATGGAGAATGATATTACTTTCAAACACAGGTATTGCAGACTCAGGTTAGTACAATCAATAATTTCCATAAAGAGAAATTCTTACTGTCACAACATTAGGGACTGTGATATGAACCTTGATATAAACATCTATTTCTAAATAAAGCCCCAAATTTAAATACAGCATGTTCCAACAGGCAGGTCAGGCCTCAAGTGAGCACCTAATTTGATTGAGGTTCTAATGTGGATGTCTCAAATTCAGTTCAGATGTTGATGTTTTTGAAAATGTGACACCGTTGCAATGGTGGGAGTTAAGATTTTAGTTGATCGAAGATACACCAATTCATAGTCTGGAACTGGAACAAGACACTTGGAGAAATTACATGACCAAGAAAGCTCTTTAAGGTTTCTTCTGGAGGCTCAAGACCAAAGATAAGCCTTTTCTCAAACATTACTAATCCAAACTATTTTGCAAGACACAGTTCACATGTATGCAAACAACATAGTTTTATGTTTTTAAATTACTTGTCTGACTTACTGACTTGCCTTGGGTGTAAGTATTTTTTTTCCCCAACAAAGAATTATCTTGTTTTTGTAATAAGACTGCAAACTACTTCAAACAAGATTTTGGGGATGGAAAAGACTGGGACCCAAATCTTTGTGAACAAAGTAGTCTGTAACCCTCAAAATGAGATATGGAATTAATTTTCATTATGGACTGATATTGGTCCTTAATTATAATTTACCTTCCTATTTCATAAGGAGAATAAGTAATTCAGCAAAGAATATCCAGCAAACATTGCTGATCTTCACTGAGGCTGTATTTTTGTGCCATCCTCTAACAAGGATTTGGGAAAGCAGTGGGTTGCTCTCCTCCAGAGGAATGGCTTTCTATCACCCACTGTTTAGTTATTCATCAAAAGGATCAGTCATAACCAGCTTATATTTCTTCTGTGTGAGGGTTCCTTTGGGCTTTCAAAGGGTATACATAGTAGGATTAAATAATTGTGATGAATACAGAATGATTCTAGAGGACAGCCTAGACCAGACAAGGTCAACAGGCAGCAGAGCAAACAACTGCTCTCTCTGCACTCATGAATCACCCTTGCACCTCTGTGGATGCAAAACAAATACCATCATTGCCTCATTCCACAAAAACTTTTTTTTTTTTTTAAATAAGCACAGGAGGAACCCATCAATTTGGCAAATGAGTTTCAATGTCCAAAGAAGATGAATGAACAAGGGCTCGGTGGTGATGGAGTTGTCTCCTTACACAATTTGTTTTACTGTAGCAGTGACTGTAAGGCATTGGCCACCAAACAGCCTGCAGGTGTTATAGTGTGTCAGCTTGGGTGTCTGCAGGAGAAAAACCTGCTGGATGTTGTCACACCTAAATAAGAGAAGGACAGCACCCAGCATGCTCTAGAGCCCATTTTGTCAACAGTTTTATCACTTAATATGCATCTTCTTTAGGATCCTCTGTCTGCTCAAACATCTGAAAAATAAGTCCTGTCATCACTGTTTCACATTCCCCAGGCATTTTACCATCTCTGCTCCCTCTTTATTGGTTTCTCCCATCAATTTGTCAGGACTGTCAACATCCCATTCGCTTAGACAAATTTGGAGGAGGGAAACGAAATGCACTGAAGTCCCAGACCCCAAAAGTACTTTGCTTTCAAAGGGGGATTTTTGCTTCAATTGAACCTCAGCTAAGGTACAGTTCTGCAGTTCTGTGGGATGAATCTGCTCTCTCTTTTTCTCCCCTTTCACACACATCCTTCACACATTTCACACCCTACGTTTTTTTTCAAAACAGCCCCAAATCCCGCAACAGAGCTGGACAGCAAATGAGTAGATGGATTTTATTTGAAAGTGCTGCTCACTCAGCAAATGCACCTCTCTGAAGAAATGCAAATTGCTTAACGCTGAAGAACAGCCTCATAGGCAGAGCTGCACATGAAAAATGAATATCTTCCTGTAGAGGAAAAAAAAAGCCCTTCTGGGTAAGGAATAACTCTTGATCTTCATGATGGAGACAATGTTGGGAATTAAAGGGAAATGATTAAAAAACCCAGATTCACAATACAGTTTGATTCCATTTTTAATAACATGTATTTACCAATGTGCTATCAGCTTGGCAAATATTCAAAATTGCAAGGAAATTCAACTTTCATTTTGTTATTTAGCAGATTAAAAAAACAATTAAATTATGTACAAAACAGACGCACAGTATGCCTTGCTTGAAACTTAAGATTTAAAAAAAAATTATTTATAAGGATAGGGGCATGAAAATTTAATTTAATGTTCACCTTAGGTAATTTTGTGTCTTATTGTTCACAGCAATTACCATAAATCTACATATCAATAAGCGAGAACAGATGTCAGTTGTTACAAGTGCTTGCCAATCAGGCCTGTTAAAAAGTGACAGATGGATGGTGATAGAACATTCTCATAAGGCCTATTAGCACATTCACAGGAAATTTTTGTAGTGCTGCACAGTCACAGATGCAGTTCTGTGAAAACACGGGGAAATTTGAGAGCACGAGATTTACATTTTACAACTTCTTGTGCTGCCTCTGACACAAACTTTCATACAATGAAGTAATTTGCCTCGTTTCAGTCACTGCAGCTTTTCTCCTGTGATAACTGTAAATTTGGAATTATTGGGTATTTGTGGAGGAGGGAATGGAGTCACAAGCCGTTCCTCAAGATTTCTTAGGCCTCATCAGCTCTTGAGTTTCTAAAACCATAATAAAATCGTATTAGAAAATAGCTGAGATTTGCTTACTGCACAAATTCCAAAAAAAGGAAGGCACCAGCTACGTTTAGTGGCACCGTGTGCATGGAGAGTTTCAAAGTCAGTGGTGATTATCAGAACCAAATCTGATCGCTCATAAGCAGTTCCCACTGACTTGACTTCCTTTGCTTTGGAAATTTTATCCTTCTCAATTATTAGGATTTATTCCATCTGAATTAAATCCTGGCTGCAGCTTAAAAAATGTGGATTAAGGTAAAATGTATCATCTCCAGGCTAAAAAAGCAACTATTTGCTAACACTGACATCAGCCATTTTGGATGCTGATGGAAAAATATGTATAAAGGTGGAGGGCGAGACAATTCCAAGAATTCTAAGAAGTAGAATAGACAGGAGATCTAAGTGCCACCTCCATCAAACCATATATATTCTGTGGCTACTTTTAGAAAAGCTGCTTATCTGAGAAGTGCTTGAGGTAGCCTGACCAGTTACTGTTTGATTGAGCAAAGCCCTTAAAACAGCTTTTAAGTCCACAATTGATTCTGCCCTGTATTTTAAGAGCGTGTGCTTAAATCTGACTGCAGGTTCACAGAATCATAGAATGATTTGAGTTGGAAGGGACCTTAAAGATCACCTAATTCCAACACCCCTTGAGCCATTTGTTGACTTAGGTAGGATTTCAGCCCATTTTCAGGTTATACATGCTCTAAACACATTCTGGCAAGAAGGGTGGTTTTGTAAATTAAAACTTCTTCAGTCCTAGAGAGAAGGATTCATCTAATCTAACTTTGTCCAAAAAGAAGTTACTCACTCAGGCTCTTGATATAATCGAAGAAGAGAGAGGGGGTAATGAAATAATCTGATCCTAAAAAAGAATCATAGAAACATTGACTCATAGAACATTTGGGTCAGAAGAGACCATAAAGACCGTATAGTTCCAACCTCCCTGCTATGGGCAGGGCCACTTTCCATTAGTTCAGGTTGCTCCAAGCCCTGTCCCACCTGGCCTTGAACACTTCCAGGGATGGAGCATTCACAGCTCTCTGGGCAACCTGTGCCAGGGCCTCACCTCCCTCACAGTGAAGAATTTCTTCCTAATATATGTAGTATTTTCCTAATATCCATAAAATAGATTAACCCCAGCCTTGGTAGGATTAATCATTGCTTGGGAGTGAATTCCCTCTTCTCTCACACTGCAGGAAGATGGGATGCCTACTTTCCAAACTACTGAGGCTCAGCTGGATGAATTCCATCCACAGAGGGGCCAAGGCAATAAAAAGCCCCCTCATCCCCCATTTGCTGGTTATAGAAAGTCCACACAGAGCTACAGATATTGTGCCCAGACTTGGCCAAACTTGCACATCATGCACTTTTACCACCTGAATAAGCACATCTCCTAACTGCTGAGCACTGCTTTTTCCTCTCAAGGTGCCTCTCCTTTTCCTCTGAGAAGGAGCAACGTGTGGATTGTGAACAGGCTCACTTGCTGCAAACTCTGTCTCTCCAAAAATGCTAAACAGAGTTGTTTAATTTATTAGTTAAAGGAAGAAGAATTTAAAAAAGCTAATTTTATGTGTTAAAATAACTATGACTTTTAATAGAATTAGTGTTACAAAAGCTGAATGTTTTTGGTCCCTGAGGTCAACAATTTTCAAAACTGGTAGTTATCTTTAAGAAACAGCTATCTCCCTTGAGCTGGAAACAGTTTCTCGGTGACCTTTACTTTTAATATGATATCCCTAAAGAGGTCATAGCAGGAGAAATCCTTCTGTATGGCTTTGCTGGAATGAAGCCATCCAAGAGTCAGAGGATATAAAGGATCCTTTGGCCAATGCAAAAGTATAGAGCTTTTGTGCAGATGGTCCTGGCTTCCAACTGGTCCCTCCTGATCCACTGAGCCAATCCAACAATTAGAGGAAAATATTCAGAAAGCAGAACCTCTCAGACTTTCTCTCACCCATCTGCTCCTACAGACTCTGCAACAGGAGGAAATCTGGCTTGGGTAGTGGAAGAAGGGTGGAAAGTATAGAGCAGGGCTCAGAAAGGGCCAGAAGTTCAACCCAAAATGTAACCAAACTGTGAGAGAACTTGGACAGCACTGGAAAAAATATATACATTGGAAAAATATAAAAAATTCCCAGCTGCAAAGGGCTTAGGGTTTGGAAAGAAAAAGAAAAATCCATTTTTTCTCTTCCTGTATAACTTCAGAAAGCAAAATACGCTGTCTAGTCAATGAAATTAAGATAAGCTCTTTGTATTTTTTATGAGTACTGTACATTTTTTTTTGTCTCGAATGGTCACACATATAAAAATATTGCTGTATGAAACAATATTTATTCCTGCCAAAACATTTGACATTAATGGATTATAGAGAACCTTCCTAGATTGTATATTGTTTAAATATTGAAAACATTGAAATATTTTCTACAATCATCCTAGCAATAGTAAACTTCCTTTTACACTATCTGTATTGTAATTCCCAGGCTCTTAAACAGGCAGGTTGGGTTAAATAACTGCAGCTTTTAGGACCTGCTTCAGTGCCAGCCAAATTAAATTCAAACATTCAAGCAACAGCAATCTTCAACTTTGAACTAAGCTTCTCATGCAATTTGTATGTATTTGAAGGAGGAATTTTTGCTTGCTTGAAAGGTTGCTAGTGTTTAATGTAGCTTACATTGTCTTTTAAAGTAAGACAATCAAATCACATAATGTAATTCATCTGCATTATTAGCCTTCCCCAAAGACAAAGTGCAGACTAGACACTGAGGCTGGAGAGGAAACACATGAGAGGAAAAACATGAGAGGAAACACTGCCCTTAAATTAGCATTAGGATTAGAAGATTTCAGAGAAGGGGAGGAAAAGTGAGGAAGTGTTCACTATGAAATGTACTCATAAGGATGCATGTCCTTGCATGTTTTATACAGGACAATGAAGCAGACTTTGGCAAGGTAGAATTAGTGCCTGTAATCAAGACCAGGGGATTACTGTAATACCAAAGGCACCACTGCCAGCTCTCCCAACTTTATTGCCAGTCTCAAAATATTACATTGTTTTCTTTGGCTTGACACATGAAGTAGAATGATTTAATGAAAACCTTGTTCTTCTATAGAAATGAGATAAAACTAAACTGCAGAATTAGGCATGGAACCTTAAAGCTTGGAAAGCTAAATGGCAAGCTACAGCTTTTTGTCTCTCAAACTTCAGAATCTCAAATTTTCATTAAACCAGTTTCATGATTTGCTTGGACTTCACACAATGCTGGATGTATAGCAGAGTCAGTTGGCTGATACAGCAAGAACAGTGACCCCTTTTAGACCTGGCACTGAGTGTTTAATAACTGTATGTTGGAGAGTTCTTGAGAAAAATCCCCATTTTCCTTTGGACTGTATTCCCAGCTTACAAACAAACAAACCAATAAACAAAGAAGCAAACTCCAATACTCATCAATCACAAACACCTAAAAATCCCACTCTCTTCACCAAAATCAAGGAACCACTGCTTCTGCAATGCAAGAACTACCTTAACCAGGCTGAGGCATGGTATTAGGGGAATGGAATTTAAAACTGCACACTGAAAAGCAGTGTCTTTGCTCTGCTAGCAAAGAAAATTGCTTTGATTTAAGAAATGATATACTGAGCATAGCAAATAACTCTTCACATGTGCAGTGGGGTGTGTGCTATGCCCCTTCTGTTCTCTACAGAGACAACACATACTTCAGCACAACGAATAAACACTTTCAGACCCTAATTTTGTACAATGGGGAGCTATATCAGAAGTCCTAATGTAGTAAACCATGACTTCATCAAGATTTAAGCACAAAAGAGATGTTAGAGCCCTGACATGGAAGTAAGGGTGGAATTTCAATGGCTCGTGTGGCTTTTGATCAAAGTTTTAGTGTCTGAATTACGTGGTAAGCACACCCATCGACTTCAAGGATAAAAGTTGCACGCCTCAAACACAAAGTTCAAAGAACTTGAAAGCTGCAATGACAGAACTTCTTTAGAACTTCACTCAATTGTGTCTGGATTTTATTCCTCACTTTGAAATGTTATATTAATAGGCAAACTACATGCAATATGGAATTACATATTAGATTCTTTTTTGTGAAATGAACCTGTACAGCTTAAGTTAAAAAACTCTAGGCCTTCACAAATGTTCAAGGATAGCTTCATCTGGTAATGCAAGCTCTTGCTGCAGACACAGGAGTACTTTCTATTCCTTTCATGAAACATAATACACAAATTGTTAATACCAGATGCACTGCATGATATAGTACTGCCTGATTTCCAAGGAGAGGACATGAACTCTCAGTTCTAACAATGAAATAGTGCTTAGTCTTTGGCACTTTCATGTAGAGATGCAGCTTGGAGAACAATTTTGTACTACTAATTTTACCTTGAACAGAAAGATTTACGACTCACATGTTTTGGGGAAAGGAGTAAACTTCAAGCTGTTTTGATAACATGAATATAAGATATAAAATACATTTTTTTCCAAGAGAGGCAGTCAGTCATCAAATTATCCCATAGACGAGCGCATTAGCAATCTAATTTGCAGTTGAAAAAAGTACGTCCCTCAAGTAACAATGATGTGCCACTATGATTTCTTAAGATGACTTTCTCTCAGTCTCAAGACCATATGATTTTCAGAGAATAAATCACATCCTGGATTGAAAGCCCATCCTGGAAATACTTTGACTAAAATCCTTAGTTTCAACACAGTTCTTGAAAACTGAAGCTGAAAGCTGAATCTACACTAACAGTGAGAAACAGGCAACAAAAACTTCTAAGGTGCACATAATGAGATGGATATCACATTATTTTTCCTCAGTGTCCCAATTCTTTCATTTTGTAGACCTAACCTAATATGAAAACATTAAAACACAATCTTTGAGCTCAAAACCACTTCTAAAACTCCCAAGTATAAAACTGTTGCTGAAGCGCTCTGTTCTGTTTATCATATTAAGATACATTATTTTGATGGAAAAAATGCTAGATTGCAAGAGTAACATAATAGAACCAGCAAGCACTGCCAGCAGGTCTGAGAAAGAGAGAATAATTCAGAGATATTGTCATCTGTAGGCCAATTTATATTGTCAGACAGCAGGTTCACATTATTCTCTGATGTCACTGCAATAATGGCATAATATAACGATTGAGCAAAGAATACCTGTGGGGTATAGCTATACAGTGTGGTATATATATACTTGTTAAAGTATTTCAGGCATCCTTCAAAGCAGAACCAGAAGCAGCAAAAGACCAGGATTAAAAAAAGAATGAGAAATTGTGCTCATAAAGACTTCTGAATATTTTAGCCCTTGTTTTGTGATGATGAAGCAAGCGTAATGTTGTATTTCATTGATTCAGCGGGCTCATGATTAAAATAAACTAATGTAGCAATTTAGGGGTTTTGTGATTCTTTCTTTTTTTTTTCCCTGTAACAAGAAAAAAAAAAAAAGCTTTTTAACAGTTCCTCACGGCAGGCATAATGTGCATCTGTGCTCTGATTTACTGCACATGCTGCCTTCTCTAGCATCATGTTAAGTTAGGATATCAGCATGGTAGGTTACACAGTGGGAATGACCTTTTGCTAATCACTACACATCAGTTACTACTGGCACACAGCTCATTACTAAGAAACCCTCCAACTAGCTGGCTTTCAAATCCGCTCTCCCACTTTGATTCGTTTTTCCTCTTTTCTTTCTTTCTTTTTTTCCTCCAGACTGAAGATTATACTTTTACATAAAATCTCTCTTGTGTAATTTTGCCAGCTAGGGTTCCAAAGTCAAAAAGGCACCCAGTTAATTTTCTGTGATTATAAAAGGAGCCTGAAAATTCGTACTGAAGGTAGGCCTGTAATCTTGGGTTTCATTAAAAAGGTCAGAACATTTTTCCTCACCACATATTATTAAAATGTTTGAGGGCTGCCATTAATTTGATTTTTCGGGACACAGAAATCTCACTGGAAATTAGAATGTAATCCTGCTGTTGCTTTCCTGACACTTTTCATAGGGCAGGATACGGCTGCAGGGACTAAGAGCTCTCCTGCAATTTACAATTGGTTACTTTGGCCAAATGGCAGGTGACTAATGCAAGACAAACTGTTTGCACAACCTGGGAGCGCTGGGTTTAATTTCAGTTCTGAAAGAGGGGTGAAAGTGTTTCTATTGACGCTGAACCATGAGCTGTCCCCTGCCAATACATCTGCCACATTTAATACACAACACACCCCCCCACCCCCTGACAATGTGATTATTAGAGGCACAGCATTCAATAGCTTAGGAATACAAAACATAGCAGGAGCAAAATGAGAGGGTTTTTAACTCACCGGCCATTTGCTGAATGCCGCTGAAGGCACCCAAGTTACTGGAGGAAGTTGCTTGCTGCAGGAGCTGCAAATGAACAACACAACACAGCAATCTATCTGACAGTAATGTAACAAATGAAGATAAAACTAAAATGAGCTATCATTTAACATTTGGAGTATTTCTGCTTTCCTTTACATTTATACAGTCTCTTGCTTCTGTCTGCCGTTGGAATGAACATCCCTAGAGTCAATGCTGTAAATCCATATTAATGTCTAATCTCTATTAAGAAACACAGAGACACAAGGGAAACTCAATAACATGGCTGCTTTAAAACAATTAATCAATTTATTCTTTTTAACAACCAGGTGTTAAATCTATTTAAACCAACATAGTGTGACTAATTACAACCCTCTGTAGTCTAGTAGTTACCATAACTCATCTCTGTCAATCATGGTCCATTCTTCCCCACCTCTGTGAATTCAGTTTTTTTTTTCTTTATTATCTTTATGAATCAAGCACACAGATATTCATTAGACTGGTAATTGTATATATAGCAGTTTAGCCTACCTCACATTAATTAGCCAACCTCAGTACTAATATATATTTTTCATTGCTGGGTAAATTGCTGTTTATATCACTATATCAAAACATTGTATGCACACAAATGATGTATTTATACATACACAATACATATATATGGGCACATCCATTTCATAGAATGGTTTGGTTTGGAAGAGACCTCAAAGTTCCCCCACTTCCAGCTGCTATGTACAGGCAGGGACACCCTCCCATCAGGTTGCTCAGAGCCCCATCCATCATGACCTCAAACACTTCCAGGGCTGGGGCAGCTTTGGCTTCTCTGGGTAACCTGTGCCACTCTCTCACCACCCTCACAGGAAACAATTTCTTCTGAGTATCACATCTAAACCTGCCCTCTCTCAGTTTAAAATCATTACCCCTTGTCCCATCACTAAATGCCCCTGTAAAAAGGCCCTCTCCAGCTTTGTTGGAGGCTCCTTCAGGTATGGAAAACTCAAAAATCCCAGAGGCTTCTCTTCTCCAGGCTGAACAGCCCCAGCTCTTTCAGCCCTCTCTCCATAGCAGAAGTGCTATGGATCACCTCTGTGGCCTCCTCTGGACCTGCTCCAACAGGTCCATGTCTTTCCTGTACTGGGGGCTCCAGAGCTGGATGCAGAACTGCAGGTGGGGTCTCACCAGAGCAGAGCAGAGCAGAGGGACAGAACCCCCTACCTTGATCTGCTGCCCACAGTGCTGGGGATGCAGCCCAGGACATGTTTGGCTTTCTGAGCTGGAAGTGCACATTGACAGGTCATGTTAAGCTTCTCATCCACCAACAATTCCAGGGTCTTTTTAGGGATGCTCTTGATCCATGCTTTTGTGCTTGTGATTGCCCTGATCCAGGATCAGGACCCTGCACTTGGCTTTGAAATTAGTGAGGTTATATTTGTCTTACTTGGAACCATGAGGAACCCCCAAGTTATCCACAAGTTCCTCAACCAGACCTCCCAACTCCAAAGCCACAAAGGGCAGAGGCTCCCTCTCAGCTGTGATGAAGGGGAGCCTCTCTTGGCCATCTGGTACCAAAGACATGTGGCTGTGGATTTCAGATTTTCCAGTAGGGACAGCAGCTACCACCTGTTTCTCATCTTACAAATGAACTAAGGAAAAAGCCTTTTAAATTTATGGCTTTTCCTGGCCACATTCACTTTCTGTATAAGGGGATATGAACCATGCATGTTTAGCATTGACAGGACCATGCATTAAAGCAAAAGCCATTTCCAAATGAAAATGTGGAAATTTGATGCTTGAATCACAACATTCTAGTTTAGAGGCTGCACCATATGGATATGGCCTCTACAGTGTTCAGCTGCCTATCTGTCCTCCCCTAGGGAAGAACTTAAATTTTATTCCAGCTATAAAAAACAGACTCTAGTGTTACATTGTGCTCATGGGCACTCTGTTCCCCCTTCCCCAGGACCCTGTGACTCTGATCAAGATAACCCCGGACCCCTCCTTCCTGCCCCAACGGGGTTGGCGGAGAGCCAGAGAAGCCCTCCCTATCCAAAGTTTAGATAAACCCCAGACATTTCCTGTTCATCCTCTTTTGCCCCACTCTCCCCATGGACATCACAGAATAAAGAGAGCTGCACCAACATATATTGGGCTGAGAGCCTCTTTTGGAAATCTTTGCCATCTCCTGATATTCCTCCCCTCAAAGCCTCGGATCTCTGGGCTAGCCTGATAATTAAGGGGGCTGAGAGGGGGGGAACGTCACTGAAGCATTCAAAACCCCCAATAAAACTAATGGAATAAAATTTTATTTACAGTGGAGGGGCTGGAACTAGGTGATGGTGATCTTCAAGGTCCTTTCCACCCCAAGCCTTTCTATGAATCTATTATTTGTTTTGCAGATAAACACCCCCAGAAGAAGACACACTGTGTATCCTGGACAACTTAGCAATTTCCTGATTTACCATGGTCCTAAAATAAATAGACCATAATACAGCCACCGCCTCTGAAATGAACTTACAGCTAGGTATTGTGGTGTGAGTCCTCCAAGACCTGTGAGGTTTCCCCAAGTGGCAGTATTGAGCTGTTGCATCTGCTGAGCCAACTGCTGCTGCAAACGCCGCTGCTCCTTGTCCTTTTGGGTGTCAGCAAACTTCACCACGATTGGCGAAGAGCAGCCCTGTGGTTGGACAGATCAGGAAAGACAGAAGGGTTAAATCCCACCAGGTCACCCTCACCTCGTGAGCTCAGCCATGTCCTGTAGGGCCACTGGCACAACCAGATCGTTCACCCTCTCTGTGACTTGCACATGTAGGACTGCAAGGACTAAGATTTTCAGGTTGTTAAGAAAAGAGGCTATGGAGACATTATTGATTCCCCAGCTCTTTTTATAAAGCACCTTTCCTCAGGCTCTCTTTTCCTTCCAGCTATCCAAACTGCTGCCAGAGACAGCAAAGTGTACCAGTCCTCTTTAATTAAGCTTCACAGCTGATGAGATGGACGTGATGCTTTGTCTGCAGTCTGTTTTCAAGGCAGCGCCAAAGGGAGAGGTGTCCAACCTCCGTGCTGCCAGGGACCACACAGCCAAGACAGCCCTGCCACCACGGTCTGGCTGTGCCATCAGGCTCAGTGCAGCTGGTGTGTGCATCCTAAAGAGACCGGGAGCAGCAGATTTACCTCAGCACCCATTTACATCAGCGAGGCACTGGCCCTGTTCACACCAAGGACCCCCAGTCCATTCACCCACCTGCGGTCCGCTCCCAGGCACGCTTTGTACCAAGCACCCTTGAGATGTGAACAAAGGGCAGGATGCAGACCAAAAGGGACTAGTTCTGGTGATAGCAGCCCATTCCTGATTGACACCATTTCTTCTATCAGTCTCTTGTTACATGGTATGGCAAGGCTGTAAGATGCCTTAGGAAATAGGGAAGCTGTAAGAAAGAGCTAGAGGTCTGGTCTGCAGCCTATTCCTCACCCATGGCTGAGGGACCCCTGGGAAGAAGCTGGAGGTCACAGACCAAATGGACTTTTGAGGTAAACTGGAATTTCCCTTGGACTTCGAATTGGCACTTCCTGGGCAAAGACACTGAGACAATGACATGTCATTATGAAAGATGTCTCTGTTGATTTCTCTCTGTTTTTTGCCCTGCTAAGAAATGTTTTAACCTTTCAAGTCTTAATTTTTTTCAGATCAAGAAAGCAAGCTATATAATGCAATGATTCAGTTCTTCAAATTAATTCAAGCATTTTATGAGTCATTGAAACTGTCAATCCATTTCATAATGCTTTTCAACCTCACAGCATCCAATGAATAACTTCCCTTGCCATGCTTTGTTATACTAATTTCTTGTCTAACTTCAATGGGAACACAATGGCAGGAGTGATAAGTGACTCAAGTCCAAGAAACATAGCAGTGCTTTAGGCAAAGTGTAAAGTGTGGGATGAAGACCAGGGTTCTATGTCACCTGCTCTTCCCATGGCTGCTCTCACAACACTGTGAACATCTTCAGAAAAGTTCCTGTCCTCAATTAACTGCAAAAAGCAGCCATGTACCTTTTCTCTGAAAAACCTCATACCAGGACAATGGATAAAAATGGTCTAAATCATCAGATAAAATGATGAAATAAACAGTAATAATAATAGTAATAGTAATAGTAATAGTAATAGTAATAGTAATAGTAATAGTAATAGTAATAATAATAATAATAATAATAATAATAATAGTAATAATAAAAAATCACATCTAAAGATTCCCCATCAACACTGTTTCTTTAGAATTATCTTAGAAAATCATTGCTTGTGGTTTATTATTCCACCTCCAATTCTTTTCCTGTGTGCTTCATTGTAAAAATGTCTTTTAGTGTTTCAGTGAGGGAGAAAGGAGATCCATAACACTCCAGCAATCAAATAAAGATTATGAAGGAGCTGGCTTGTTACACAATTACCTCTCTCTAGTGATTTTTATACTAATATTAAAAATAAGATCATTTAGAAAAAAAAGAAGAAAGGAGCCAGGGGGTAGAGGATGCGAGAGATTTTTCTGGTTTTGCTAATAAAAAAAAAGCAAGCTGTTTCTATCTTATATGAGATACAAGTACCATTATTGGTAACACTGGGCTAAGAACAACTGGAACTTACTGCCTTCTGCCTGGAAGTACAGGAGAGTCAAGTATATTTCCAAAAAAAATAGAAATGCGTATCAAAGGAAGAAATATTATATGGTTAAGTTATTATAATAGAAATATGATAAAAATATTATATTGGTAGTTCAGCATTCAACAGTACAGCTGACATATTTATGAATGCTTAAATGTCAGTAAATTGTATAAAAACAATATCTCTGCAATTTATGAATCTATAATTCATTTTTTCACTGTCTACTCTATATTTCATCACTTCATCATTTTCAAGAAAGCAGACATTCTTAAGACTGAGATTATATCTAGCAAGTGGCTCTATATGAGAAAAGGGTTGTTATTGTATCAAATTTACTCCATGATAACAAATTAGTGTCTTCTATTGGTGCTGCAATTGAATTACTTAAACAAACAAACATAAAACCTCCATAGAAAAGAAGTAGAAGAGCAAACACTTTAGAGCAGCAATTATATTTTAAAAATCAGTTGATTTAACCAGGTCAGTAAGTCAGGTGGAAAGAGCAAGAAGACAATGCATTATTCTATGAGACAGGTTTATCTGGACTTAACAACCCCATTGTTCTTTCTTAGCCCTCTTTGAAAATTCATCTTGGTCAATCATATGTGCTAAAGAACTGAAAATAATTTAAAAAGGAAAAAATCTGTAGTAATTTGGTTGCAATGCTATTGTGTACTACATATCTTCCTCTAAGCCCACTTTTAATTGCAAAATAACATGAAACCAAAGTGTCCAAGGATGACTGTTTCAGGCTGAGGTTGGACGTGTAACACGAGTCAACCCAATTTAACTTTTCACTAGAAGAGTATTGGCAAAAGTGAGAAATTTTTTTTTTTTTTTTTTTTTTTTTGCCTATGGGGTGATTCTTGTTTTATGCACTTCTATTTCCTAGCTTGAGGGAAAGCTTCCAGCACAAACAGAAGGTGCATCTCCCTTCCTCATTCAATGGCTTCATATTTCCATGCCATTCAGTGCCATTTTCTTCCCAACAGCTGGTGCTGCCTTCATATTTTTCTGTTGTCAGGTTGAGTCCCTCCTCCACAGAGAGGGAGGGTGCACGGCTTCTTTCCAAGAAGGGACTCAGCCTAAGCTCAGTTGATGCAAAGACCCAGATGTTCAAAGGGCAAAATGTTTGGAATTGCCTTGCCAATCTGGGGATCTCATTGATGACGTGTCTAAAGGTGTTGAGAAGGATTTTGATCCAAGAGTAACCATTCTACAGAACTAATCTCATTAAGAGTATTCTGTCAAAATGCAGCCCCTTTTGGAGTGCTGCATACAACAGAGCAGTGGGAGAATTTGTCTGGGAGGTGTTATGTCTTTATTTTACCGTCTTCGGAAGTAGAGCTGTGTAAAATTAATTTTTCTAGATGGAAAAATACATTAAAACAAATGGAAAATATAGGTAAAACACAGTATTTCCAATAAATATTTCCTTTTTACTTGGAATCAAACCCAGAAAAACATATAGATCTAAATTAATGGAGCAGTGCACGGCAGACAAATTACTACAGGTATTATTGCAGAGACTCAAAGTGGCAGTTTTTTCACAATATACTATCAGACTGCATAGAGTGTATAACAGCAGCTTTCTCGTAAAGATAATTTCAATTATTCTCATCTCATTGGCAGATTCTCAACTAAAACTGTATACCCAGGGTCTAAAAATGCATTGCACTGAAAAGAAAACACATTGATTATAAAAGAAGCTCAACCAAATTCAAACGTGATGTTTGGAAAGACAACAGCTTTGCAATGCTGATATCATTACTTGTACTATACAAGAAACAGTTAGTGACATTTTCATGCACTGGCTTGAATTTTATCTTCTCCTTCTCCTTTGTCCTCTGTCCACCCTCCCACCCCTGGTCTCCCCCCTTGGCTCGTTACACAAAGCAGCTCAACGACATGACGCAATAATGATTGTTTAGCACCCAGCATGCTTTGGGAGACTAGAGCATTGCAAAGGAAGATCACTGAGAGAAAAAAAAAATAAAATTGAAAGGTCCTGGTGGAAAAAGAAATAAAAAAAAAAAAAAGAAACAAGTGCACATAACATCAATGCCACCTCTGAGAAAAATCATCACTACACGAAGATACAGTATACATAATACAGTATAACATGCACTCTCCAATGATAAGCTAGAAGATCCAGAGTAAGTAAAGATTTCATACTTGTGCGGTTTTTTGTGCAAAATTCTGAAAGACCATGACAAAAATCACAGACTGAAAAAAGTTTTGAGATTGCCAGACAAGCTGTGGCATTCAATAACCACTCCAATGACCAGATCGTTAGCCAGCAGCTAAAGTCACATTGAGTGAACGAGTTTAAACTTTTGAGTTGCTCATCATGGTAAAATACGAAGCCATAGAGGCAGTTTGGAAGGGAATGAAGAGTGCTGCTTGTGAGGGGCCAGCCACGATGGTGCTCTGCAGGAAGTGCCACACTCCAATATGCTCTGTCATCATTAGCATTTTTATTAGCTACATGAAGAAGGCGAAATAATATTAACTTAAAAAGAGATTCTATTTGCAGAAAAACACATGCACTAGTAACTCAGTGTGGCCATGTTAAATCTCTTGAGCTTTTTCTCAGAGCAATGCAAACCACAACACTTAAAAAGCTATTTAAAAGAAACGAAGATTTTTCTTAGGGGGAACGTGTGTTAAAAATAGAGGTAATTTAATAATCAGAGATACTCTGAGTACAACTGAGGAGTGGTGTTCATAGCATTTTTATTTTCTGCTGAATGCCACTGAAAACAGGATTGAGAGCCGTGTTTGGGTACCACACAGCAGACTTATTGTGCTCTTTTAGGTGATTGAGAAAAATAAAGCTTCACAAAGACAGGTAGAGTGAGCAGGTAGGTAAAAAATTTAAATCTGTGATTGTCATGTGTCTGATCTGATCCAGGAGAGCATGGCTTTACCATTCGCAATCATTTGCACAAAGAAAACAAAGAAAGGGCAAATGATACAGTACTGTACCTCCATGGTCTGAGACTGGTGCATGGCTTTGATTGCATTCTGTGCCATTGCCCTTGTAGAAAATGTGACAAACGCACAGCCTGTGGGAACAAGGGGACAGGGAGCAGGAAAGACAAAAAACAACAAGACAAAAGGGTTGGACGCTTGTTAAACCAACACAGTCTACGAGAACGGCCACAAGACGACACTGTTCTCAGTAGTACATAAAAATAAACAACTTCTCTAGTTTATTTATTGACAGTGCTGACTTGCTAATCTGACCATAGATGAAAGAAAAAAAATTAGGTGGAGATGGGTGACAAGGAGGGTTTTTATTTAATTTTTTTTGTTTGTTTTGCTTTGTTTTTCTTTTTTGTTCATTTGTTCTGTTTTGTTACTGTTTTTGTTCTTTAGCCACAGGGTTTGAAATAAATAAGGCTTTTATGTAGACTTTGGATTGCATAGTTAAATCTATTCAGACCATGCATTAACAATTGCTTGCTCTGGCTTTTGTGTGGTAAACTGTGGATAGTGAATAAATGTCGGCATCACTGACAGCTGAACTGAGAATTTAATAAAGGGGTCCATAACATCACAAATTACTGTGATGCACCAAGAAGTATCATACAAATAAGAATAAGAAAAACACCACTGTGTATCCTATGACTATTTGTGAAAAGACTCAGACAAAATTCAGTAATGTAGGTGCAGTCTCAACATTTAAGAAAATAACATTTTAAAAATAAAAATTCTTATGGTATTTGTTTCTCTGAGTTCTAGGTACAAGTATAATTCTTTGATCCATGAAAGCTACTGCCAGCTTGAACAATTCTGAAGCTATGTGTGTGAATAACTGAAAAAAAAAAAATCACCTTTTTTTTTTTCTTTTTTTTTTTTTTTTTTTTTCCTCTTCAGTCTTTAAAATCATAATGAAAAGCCAGTAGGCTAATGCCTGGGCTATTTTCCCACCCTTTAACTATTATCAGCCATACCTACACGGGGCATGGTGCAGGTCAAGCTTTTCAGTGCATGTCTCACTGCCCTTTTGGCTAATAAAAACATTGCCTCCTGAGATTTACATTTTATTCTTCATGCACCCTTGGGCATCTTAAAGAAAAAGACTGTGAAATTAATGCAGATTCAGGCTGATTTTGTAATAATACCATGGCACACTAAAAGCTTAGCTAAAGCAACACAGACTTATTTCACTTGTGATCTCTAATGACTTTAAAAGTGCATTGATTTTCAGCTCCCTTAGCCTTGCACAGTTTGAACTTAGGTTTCAGAGAATAATTTAGTGTTCCACTCAATTTCCTCAAAACATTATTATTATTACTACTTAAAAGATTTCCAAATGAAGCAGATCTAAGCACTGAGAGGCTAAAGCATATTGTCATTTTAGAGCTAATGCATGAAAGCTACATTCTGGCATCAAAAATACAATATTGTTGCCCCTGTGGCCAATGGGCAAAATAAACCATTTTGCAATCCAGCAAGCAACAGATTGTTTGGTTTATGCAAATCAATTTGAGGCATAGAATACCTTTTCTTTTTAGCTCTGTGTGTACCTGGTAAGATTATCAAGTCAAGACTGTATTCACATTTTAATCAAACAACAGTAAGAGAAAGCAATGCCTGATCATTACCCAAAAGCACTACATCTAGTCATGAAAATAAAGTCAATGCATTTTTGCATCATGCGGTATTTTTTTTCCTTTTTAAATGTAAAGGCCTTCGATTCAAAAGAACCTAAGCTAGCTCTGGCTGATAGATGAGCATCATAAAATCAGAAATCAAAGTTCTTTTACCCAAACTTCACCACAGCATTGTGACTTTCTGTATTTCTTAGGTAACAAACCAGCTGATGTCTCACTACTGTTTAGCCACACTACATAATGCTATACTAGTCTTGTTCAACAACATATTTCTGGAATATGATGTAACAAACCAGCTTTCTGTACAGCAATCTAGACAAAATGTGAAGTAGAAAGGTAAATAATCTACAGTACTTCTCCTAGATTCCATATCGCTGCTGTGCACTAAAATTAAAGAGGCCCAAATTTGCCATCAGTCTCAAAGTAATCTCTTTTAATACCATTTCTATTATTAGCATTATTATTTTCTTGTCTTGCAAATTCAGTGGGGGATGAGCACAAACAGAGATATACTGGAGGGCAGGCAAAGAACCCCATGCAGAGCCTTGAATAATATTGTTGATATGGTCAAGAAACTGCTTCATTCATTTTTTTGGTTCTCACTATCCAGGAGTGTGTACTATAGTGACAATTATTGAATGGAGGTTTCAAATGCACGAGAAGCATGTAAAATGTCAACAAAAATCAGTAAGACACAGTTTATGCATTTATCACAATTTCTCCCCAGCAGTTCTGCTGTAAGTAACTTACTGAGAGATGTTGCAATTAGCAAGTCTCAAAAGAAATGTGAATCAGCAGAGAAATAAGGCTCCATTCCTCTCAAGATAAAGCACCCTGCCCCTTCCCTTCCTTGAGCTTTCTCTTTTTTTTTAACCACAGGGCTCAGCTGTTGGGTACTTTCAGTGCCCAGCACTACTGCAAAGCCTTCCTCTTCACTTCAGCCCAAAACCATTTGCATGGGTCTCGTTGCCTTTGTCATGGAGCAAAAAAACCTTTGTAGCAGATCTCTGTACCAATTTGAAATAAACTTGTTCTTTGGGCAAGGGGAATGCCTGATGAATGAGGTTATGCAGCTTGAATATGAGTACTTGGAAGCAGCATTCCACAGAGAGGATGAGGCTGCATTTTAATTAGGGTTTGCCAGCCAGAGGCTACAAGGTTAAGTCCCCTTGTTATCTCCATTCAGCAGGCCATTTCCCACTGATAGACAGTGGCCATTTCCACCTTACCATTTAGTGAGGTAAATTTCCAATTTACCTCAATATCACGGCAAAAAATCAGTAGACAATGTTATTTTTAAATTATTTGAAAACCCAGATTTTAAGAGGTTGCCATTAAGTGCCCCAATTAAACATTTGCTAATTTAACCATTCTTCCAGACATTGCTATGCATATTTACATTTAAGGGTTATTTTTCAGCTACCAAACCTGGACATTCACAAACATTTGTTTATTGATTTAGTGTGCATATATATTTTATTGTGCATGGGATATGGGATCATATATATTTTATTATTTGTGAACTATGGACTCCTTTCCTTCATGACCAGACTGCCACACTGGATGTGAGCTTAGCCTATATCATAGGATTTGGTCTATTTAACTCAATAATTTTGCATTTATAATTTAGGTGTTCAGAAAAAGCTGTTGTGAAATGCTTGTATTTACTGCCATGGTTAATGGCAGGACCTTGATTTTCCTCTGTGGGGCACATATGCACTGGAAGAGGATGGTTTAGTTGGGCACCTGGGATTTAATCAGAAGTTGGTGTCCAAGGACACTGGATTTCATTTCTTTGTGTTTCTGAAGGGTTGGGAAAAGCCTTTCCAGCACTCTCTCACTCACTGTGTCACATGGGTGCAGGTGGTCTTTTGGGAACACACTGCCAGCTCTAGCACTGTAAATCACAATTAGAAGAGGACAGGACTAATCAGATTTCATGCCTTGTGGTGCAGGGAAACAAGAAAGATTTCCGTGGCCTCTTACCTCATCCTATGAAACATGGCATTGATTGGCGTGCCACGGAACAAGGTCTTCCCAACCCACAGCTACAAGCAAACTATTTCTGTTCTACCCCACTAATATTTAATTATTCCCTTCTTACTGGAGCTGTGGAGCTCACTGGGAGGTAAAATATGGAGAGGAGGATATTTCTATAGCTAATGCCTTGAAATAACTTCAGTTTCTACAACAAACTACCTAGCTACACCAAAAAAACACATTGTTTTGTAAAAACAGCCAGCCAACAAGACACCTTACACGTATTTGTCAGCTCTGGTTTCAAAATGTCAGGAATCACTGACAGAAGGAAAAGGGGAGGGAGAAAGAAGATCTATGAATTTTAGCTGCTTCTCCAAGGCTGCCTTCTCATCCCCTACAGCAGATAAATGAGTGACTGGGGAAGGGCTGCTGGAAGCAATTTTCTTCTGCAGGCAGAATTGGAGTAAGGCACCCAGCCTTGTCATGGGAGAAATTTTGGAGCCCATTATCACATCTGCCACGTTGGCTGAGAGAACATCTAAACTCACAGGCTTACTCCTTACCCCTCTCTCACCACAAACTGAAAGAGAATTCTGAAAATGCAGTCAAATGTGAAAGGCCTCCTCCTTGACCCTGGCCACCCCAAACCTAGGGCTTGCTGCTTGAGTGACTGAATATTTGAAATATTTAAAAAAGCTCAGCACTGCCCCATTTCAGCTCCTGCTTCATGTGATTCTTCTCATCTCAGGTTTTTCTAGAAGTGTTGAGAAACAGTCAGCAGTTCTTGCACAGCCTAACACAACATCAACTGCTGCGAGCTGCAAGTAGAACATTTTTATGTGTGGAAGCTTCAGGTAAGGTTCATATCTACACAAGAAACCTCCCTCATGAAACCACCATGGTCTACCAGAGGTTTTAAAGTGAAGCCAAAGGGACATGCAAAATGCAGAGACATTTTTGGAAGTCCAAAAACATGGTTTTGACACAAAAGAAGACCCAAGAGATTTTCAAAGCCACCCAAGTAACTGCAGTGCTGTGTTAGTGCTGGCTGCGCAGCTGGTGCTCTAATGGTTGCACTACAGCTTTCCAGTACACTGTAAACAAGTTTTTCTTCAATTTCTGTAAAGAAACAAAAGTGAAAAGCTGCCAAATACTCCTGAAAGGAGTAGTTGGGATCCTCTGAGATGAAAGCTTCTATTTAAAGAAAAGATAAGGCATGAATAAAAAGCTATGGAAATTGAAGTGTTATTAAAATTAAGCTCTAGTTGGGTTAAAATGTTTCTAGCTGAGATTGCAAGATAGACTTTTCCTTTTCCTTTCCTGTGCTAATACAGCCCAGTCTGAAGAAAGGAGCATCCTGGAAAACAGCCTTCTAATGAAGACATCACACAAAAATCTGTCTTGGTGGCTAAAAAGCATTTCATCTGCAAGCTAAATTGTACATCAAATTGTTTACCGTAGTGATA